AGATTTGGGTCACTTCAGGCTGCAGTCTGAACGCAGCCTTAGATACTTCATTTTGTTGTCAGTCATAACAACAGTCTATAGTTGAGCAAAGTGGGTGATGTGCCTTGCTCAAGGACACAACAACAATATGCAAAGCTGGAATTCAACTTCCAACATGAGCCACTGTTTTATTTATTTTAATTAAACATACATGCATCTACAGATATAACACTACAGCTACACACTGTAAACTCTAACACCAAGGTTCACTTACATTCAGATCGTTTACTTTACTCACAGCTACGAATTTGTGGATCTTAATGATTGTGGTAAAGTAACAGTTACTTTCAGAATGAGAAAAGCACGTGACTTGTCATTTAGACTAAAGTCGATTTGAATGAGACGAGTGACTTCAACAGTGACGTGTTATTGGCAAAAGTCCAGCTCCATTTCTCAGTCTGTTCCAGTCCTCCTTTTGCTTCCTCCCTGTTTTTCCTACAGCCGCCACTCATTCATATATTCTATATCCTCCCTCTGTTTATTCAGTCTTTCCTTGATTACATCTGTCCACCTGTTTTGTTTCTTCAAGCATTTTTTGTTTCTTAAGTGCGAGGGCCTTGGTTGAGTTGACTTTGAATGAACTTTATTATTTTATTGTTTCACGTTACGATGTGTTTTGAACTTAAGCTGAGCAAAAGTTTTGCTTTTCAAAGACTAATAAATATTAAAATCCTTGTACCTGATGCAGATCTAAATGGCATTACTGTAGAACAGAACCTGTTTTTACTCTAACTTGTGTATAGAAGTGACATTTACTTGCTCAGTTCAAAGAAATCAATTTCCACGGTTTTACCAAGTAAGATGTACTTTCTCTTCAAGTAAAGGTTACTACATATTTCAGATTTGAGGAAATGACTGATTAGTTGGCAAAAAGTTCACTTCACTTGCTGTGCCTAGTTGGATAAAAGAGGAATTTCCTGAACACGACACTGAAGATATAAACTCAGATTTAGATTCACAGTCCACTTAAGTCAGATTTTTCAAAGGCAGTTTCCTAGATTTTTTCAAGTAAAGTCTACTTATTAGTTATTATTTTACAGTGCACTTAAAAGTACTTGTCTAGAAATGTTGTAGCTTTTTCTGAAAAAAAAAAAAAAAGCAACTGCACCATTAGGCCAAGTTACATGTCAGATCTGTGGAGACGTGATACAGTTTTTCAAGCAATACAACAATGTAAAAGAAACCAAGACTGATTGGTTTTGATTTGATTGATTGATAGTTACCATCTTGAACGTTCATACCTCGGTCGATGTGATGGCTCATATTTTTCCTCCTTGTGATACCTGCTCACAGACACAGGTGTGGGAGCATTTGTCTCACCATGTCCAGCTGCAGAGTTGGATCAGTTTCACCAGTGATTTGGCCAATTAGTCCTGAGCGGCTCTGAGCGAGGACATCCTTTAAGCAGCCACTCCATCCATGTACCATCAACGGGAAAGAAGAGGAGAGAGAGAAAGAGGGAGGGAGAAGTGGTGAAGAGAGGGGGTAAGAGATGGAGAAAGATGGAGAGGAGTTGGGGTTAGAGGGCAGAAGAAGGGAGTGAATAGAGAGAGAGAACATTAAAAGAAAGTGGGAGTAGAGACTTGGCAGAGAAAGAAGGACAAGATATGGAATGGTTAAAAGACGGGAGGGAGAGAGGAGACAAAGAGTAAGGCTACGTTCAGACTGCAGGGCTTAACGCTCAATTCCGATTTTTTTGTGAAATCCGATGTTTTTTCGAGGTCGTTCACATTTCCAATTAAATGCGACTTGTATGTGACTCCAGTGTGAACAGTAAAAGGCCCAAAAGTGTCCCGCATGTGACACTGGAGACATGATGACGTCAACCGCAGCGAGCGTCTCTGTGTTTACAGAAGTTGTCCAAACATGGACGTGAGCATTGAGCACCTGGAGATTTTAAAGTTCCTCTCGTACTGGAGCCAGAACATGAACAACTTACTTGTTTTAAGGAGGAGATTGAGAAGGAGAAGGACGAGGTTTTTGGTCGTGGTGTTTTGTGGGACAGCGGCAGCGACGTCCGTTGAAAGGAACGTGTGGATGTGGAGACGGAGCCAAGAGGTGAGTGGTGATGTGCTTCACTTCAGTGACACAGAGTTCATTAACAATTTTCGCCTACTTCAGCACAGAATAGTGACGTTTGTGGCTTGTTGATAACGTGTAGGTCAGGGGTGTCAAACTCATTTTGGTCTAGGGGCCGTATCCAACCTACTTTGATACCAAAGGGGCCGGATCAGAAAACTCATGACATATAAACCTCAAAAATAAAAATAAGTTCAAATATTTGTGCAGAGAAACACAAATCTATTACAGAAATCTTTTTTAATTGATGAACTCTTTCTTTTACAAAATATTATAATATTATGAACAACCTGAAACTTTAAGAAAAATACAATTTCAACACAATGTTTTAACATGAAACAGGAATAAGTAGATTTTTCTTGTAAAATCCTGCACTTGGCTCCACTTTTCTCATTTTTGACATTTTTCTGATGAGTGTGTCACGGTCAACAGTCAAAACGATCGTCCTTTAAGAGCGTTTGGAAAGAGACAAGTCTTCATTTGTGCTGCTCTGGTGGGAGGGGCCACGTACAGAGACACTGGAGACGCTGCTGTGATAAACACCACAGAAAATTAACAATATTTTAATAAAAAACAGAATTAAAATATTTTAGTAGAAAATCAGCCGAGGGCCAGATTAAAGGTCTTGGAGGGTCGGATCTGGCCCCCGGGCCGCATGTTTGACACCTGTGGTGTAGGTGGATGAATGCGCTTTGACCGTTCACACTGAAGTCACATGTCAAAAAATCGTATATGTATCGGTTTCAGGAGCACATATGCAAGTGTCCTGGGTCACATTTGAAAAAATTGGATCTGTGTCATTCACAGTGTGTCATTAAAAGATCAGATACACGTCACATAGAAGCCAAAAAATCGGATTTGGGTCACTTCAGGCTGCAGTCTGAACGCAGCCTAAGACAGAAAAGGAGCGAGAATTGAAAACAAAAGCTGGACATGAGAAAAAAAGGAGTATATGGAAAGGAGAGGAGAGGGAGGAGAGTCCAGGGTGATTATCCACGCCTGGACGCTCTGATCGGGTTTGTTGGGAGAGTTGGCTGGATGGAGTGTGGAGTTTACGACGTCCCGGCGGAGCTCTAGGAGGCGCTGTGGTTGAGCGCGTTCACTGTGAAAACACGAGCGGGGATAAAGCGGGTGCCAGAGATGGTCCCAAAGCAGGATCACAATATGGAGGCCTGAAAAGAAACCGCAAACTTTGTGAGCTCTCCAAGAACACTGATCTAATACAGATCATTAGCGAGGTTTTTTATCTCAGTTATGTGTTGTCAACAATAGTTTTACATTTTCAGAATTAGTTTAAAACAAACCTATTATGCGAAATCCACTTTTTAGAGATTTTAACCTGGTATTAACTCACCCAAAGTTGAGTAAACTTTTACCCCTGTGTCTGTACTTTTACTAAAGTAACAAAATACTGTAGAGCAAGAGTCTCCAGCCCCTGGGCCGTGTGTCGTTTGGTATTGGGCCACGAAAGCGAGAACCCTTCATATGCCTCTAAACCAAAACTTAAACCAGATCTAAAACCAGGACTAAAACCAGGACTAAACCAGGTCTAAACCAGAACTAAACCAGGTCTAAATCACGTCTAAAACAATGTTTAAATCAGGTCTAAAACCAGGACTAAATCAGGTCTAAATCCAGGACTAAGCCAGATCTAAACCATGTCTAAACTAGGTCTAAACTTGGACTAAACCAGGTCTAAAACCAGGATTAAACCAGGTCTAAAACCAGGACTAAACCAGGTCTTAAACCATGTCTAAACCAGGACTAAACCAGGACTAAAATCAGGACTAAACCAGAACTAAATCAGAACTATAACCAGGTCTAAAACCAGGACTAAACCAGGTTTAAAACCATGTCTAAACCAGGACTAAACCAGGACTAAAATCAGGACTAAACCAGAACTAAATCAGAACTATAACCAGGTCTAAACCAGGTCTAAAACCAGGACTAAACCAGGTCTAAAACCAGGACTAAACCAGGTCTAAAACCAGGACTAAACCAGGACTAAAACCAGAACTAAACCAGGACTAAAGCCAGGTCTAAACCAGGACTAAACCAGGACTAAAACCAGAACTAAACCAGGACTAAAGCCAGGTCTAAAATCATATCTAAACCAGGACTTAAACCAGGACTAAACCATGTCTAAAACCAGGAATAAATTAGGACTAAAATTAGGAGTAAATCCAATTTCATGTGGACTTGTTTCATTTATTAAGTCATTTTAGATTCATATTGTGATTTAAAATGTGCAAATTATAACAAAATAATGCACTAGTGACACAAGCACAATGTGAAAAAAAAAAAAAAAGTTTACTAGTTACTGTTATGAGCAGCAAACTACGTTATAATAGCTCTAATTGAGTATTTGGATCTTGTACTGGATTGTCTGAGTTTTTGTCTGATTTTCTTAGACAAAAACTATTACTGTTTGAATTTTTTTTTTACACACTAATGAAAGAAATAAGAAATAACAAGACTTTTGGCTAATTTGTGTTGAGCAAAAAACAAGTTATTCTGTCCAGACAAAACTTAAAAATGTATTTGCTCTGTTTAATGAATTTCTATTATGTTTGTGCGGCAAAAATTAAAATTTCTCATTTTCTCTTCAGTTGTTGCTGGTTTCTGAAGCTGAAAATCTGCCTCTGTTGTTTTGTCTGAATGTGATTTTGAAGTAATCGAAAAGTTGAGTGTTTTCTCCAAACGCTGTAATTGTTTTTAAACTTGACAACGAATACAGATTGAAAAATTATTTTAAAACGTTCTGGTTAGTGGCCAAAATTGCAGAGTTGTTTGGAACACGTTTCGCTGAATAATTCATACAGTTTCACAATAAAAATAAATGTTCATGTATAATCTGATGTATGTTTTGTGTTTTCTCGCAGTGATGAAGTAACGCACGTGATCGCGGAGGATAACGACGCTGCCTCCTTGTGGGCGTGGTTAAAAGGACGGGGCCTGAACAGTTTACCCATGATGCACGTGGTGGACATAAGCTGGTTCACGGAGAGCATGAAAGACGGCCGACCTGTTGCCATGGAGACCAGGCACCTCATCCAGGTGAGACACAAACTGTACCACAATTAACTCAAGTCTCATTTTGGATTGTATATTTCAATACTTAATACTAAAGTATTAGAAAGTAAATTAAAGTATTAAATACTATATTTTCATTTTGTAGGATCATAAACATTATATTTTATGTCTTCTTTATCACTATCATTAGCTTGTATGACCATAAATGAAAATGTGCTTTTATGTAACTATGTGTTATGTACAGTATATGTACGACACATAAACACTCCAAAGGTGTAAAAATAAAAGTGTCAACCATGTGATTATGCAAAAGTGGGAAGGACTCTAAGTTTATCAAACTTTATCCGACTCCTTTTGTAGCCAGGCTGGTGCCACCTAGTGCCTCCACTCAGTTTCATTTCTCTCCAGCGACTAGGTCAGGAATCAGAATACACTAGACGGTTTGCAAGAAGTACGCAAGTTGTAGACCGCGCACCGGCCAATCAGCGAAGAGCTGTGAAGCCATGACGTCAAAGCGTCTGTCTGGGTCCCTTTTGTGGAACAGCACAACAGTAAACAAAGCATCGAGATGGATGTAGATGAAGACAGACATTCTGTGTTGGCAACGATTCCCAAAATCGATGATTTAAAGCTGGAACAAAGAGAATGTTTGGTCAATTTTATCAAGAGGAAAGACGTTATTCCCTTCTTCCTACCAGATTTGGTGCATCACATACATCACGACCAAATAACAGTGATTGGTTAAATAAAAAAGTACCCGCCTACTGTCAAGCGAACAAATCCTAATTCTGCGAGGTCAGACGGTTTCCACGAAATAAAACCAATAAATAAACTGATAAATCAGGCTATTCCTTTTGAGCACCAGGTCCTAAATATGTACATGTACATAGCCTTGTTGTTGTTTTGTCATACCTTCCTCAAATAAAAATGAAAAATGAAAATAAATAAATAAATAAAATAAAACAAAAAAATTTCAATTTGAGTGAGGTGTCTTGCTCGTAGACAAATCAACAGCATAATACAAAACTTGGGTTAGTGAAGTCACCTTCTAGCCAGGCTGGTGCCACCTAGTGCTTCCGCTCAATTTCATTTCTTTCCAGCGACTAGATCAGGAATCAGAATACACTAAATGGTTTGCAAGAACCCGGGAAGTGTGAAGTCCAGGCACCAGCCAATCAGAGAAGAGCCATACATTCTGTGTTGGCAACGATTCCCGAGATCGAGGATTTAAAATCCGGAACAAAGAGAATGTTTGGTGAATTTTATCAAGAGGAAAGACGTTATTGTCCTTCTTCCTATGGGGTTTGGAGCTTTACATGCGTCACAACCAAATAGCAGCGATTGGTTAAATAAAAAAGTACCCGCCTACTGTCGAGTGAACAAATCCTAATGCTGCGAGGTCAGACGGTTTCCACGAAGTGAAAACAAATCACCTTCTGGACACAAGCTGCATTGTGTAACTTTTCTGGTGGACGACCCGTCAAATACTTTTCTCCATGGAGATGCTTTGTCTGGAATGTTCCACAGTACGGCATTAAACCTTTCTGTCTTCATGGACACCAAACCAGACCAAGTTACAATGTCCAGACCAATCAAAATGTCATTTTTCTACATATTTTTAGCGATAAAACCACCTGTAAGTGAAGAAACATAAGGTAGAGCTGTTGAAATACTGCAGTGACATCTCCATAGAAACAAGCAGGTGACGGAAACCAAACCAAAAAGTTACATGGTGCGTCTTTAATGCCATACTGTGGAATATTTCAGGCAAAACAAAGCAGGTAAAACATACATGCAGCTTTAATTTATTATGAACTTGATTACTGTTACATTTAATCACATAAAATGACATAATGCAGCAAAACCAAGTGAATTTTTCCACATATTTGTTTGGGAAAGTCTTTTAATAGAGTGACATTTTCCCCCACTATTGAAATGTCATCTCCAAACATGTTCTATTGTAAAAGAAATGGTGGCAGTCGGGCGTGATGACTTATACATCCATCCAGAGGAGGAAATGTGTTTTCTCCTATATACCCCCTACGCAGACAGTACAGAAGCATGAAATAAAGGCATCAGCGCGCGCTCAAAGCCACATATATGTACTCTGTGGTGGATTACCCTGTCAGCCCCCTGCACCCTCTGGATCCAAAACAAATAAATATGTCTGCTGGTTTAAATGGGCTGTCTCTGGTTTGTGCTCCCGCTGATGGAAACGCAGAGATAGAGGGAAGCCTTCAGAGCTCAGACTGGCAGACTGTGACCGTGACTTTACCTCTGCATAGGCATAGAGGTTTTTTTTTTTTTTTTTATACTTAGACTTTCTCCTATATGTTGCAGCCCCGTGACATTTTATTTCCAAAGGGCACGGGAGCGTATACAAAGAATGTTTAGATTTTAAGTTTCTCGCAGCTGCAAAGGGGATGGTTTTATTCTGGTCGCTCTGTCTCAATCTTAAACACAATTTTCTCAGGTGATACTTTACTTTGAGGCCGATGTCGTCAACATTTCCTGGGGTTGTGATGTAACTGTAGGCTCTGCTCTGTCTGGAGTAGGGACGGGCATTCGATGAAATTTTCTTAATCGATCGTCGAGAGAATTAACGATCGATTATCGATTAATCATTAACGTTTTTTATATTAAAATGATCATCATTATTATTACTATCTGCACTCCTAATCTGCATAAATAAATTCAACTTGACGACAAATAAACCGTAACCACATCAGTCCGTTTGACATTATAATGTGTTTAATTCAGTTTTGTTCAACTCTCACAGAAACAAAACTTAAAACCACATCACTAATTTGCATAAACTCAGTGAAGATAAAACTCCAGCTCTTGTGTCGCTGATGCGGTTCAATTTCTGTTGGATTAAAAGACATGACTCAGGTGAATACAGGTTAGTGTGACCAGATTTGTGTTTGTCAAAACCAGGACAGCGTACGGGGGGAGGGGGGCGGGGCCTCGTCATCGACATCGTGCGACTCTCACCTGGTAAAACTTTTTCCCACTGGACACAGAAACATCTGTGCTGCTTTATACACTGTGCACATGGACTCACACTTGTCCCGAACGCAACGGAAAGCGTGGAATTTCTTGTACAAATCATCGTTAAATACACATTTGCACTTCGGTACGTTGCAGGCGGACTGACCGTTTGTGTCTCGCTCCTTCTGAGTGCAGAGACACATGTACAGACCCTGTTTGGTCGGTTTGTCGATTAAAATTTACGTAATCGATGAAATTCTTAATGATCAATTATCGATTAATCGACGAATCATGCCCATCCCTAGTCTGAAGCTTTGTCAAACTTTAATCTGTGCTTTTTAACAAAGTTTTTGATGGTCATAATCTGGTCATAAAGAACTGAGTTAAGGCCGTCGCACACTACAGCAGAATTTGCCCGATATAAGCTGCGATTTGCTTCTCTCCGACTTCAGGGAGGCGTGACTTGACTTTTTGTTTTCGTGTGCGAGTTTGAAGCCTCTTTGCCTCGGCTTTGGAACAACCTGCCTGATGAGAAAAGGCTCGGACCATCAGTATCATCTTTTAAATCACTTCTTAAGACTCATTTTTACTGGTTGGCCTTTATTTTTATTCTGTTTCATTAACTAAGTTATTATTATTTATTGAACTGATTACTTCATTGTTTGATTTTGTTTGCTTTCTGTATGCTATTTTTATTGCACGTTATAAACCTTGTTTTTAAAAGCACTTTACAAATAAAGATTTATTATTATTATTATTATGTGCAATCAAAACTGCACATAGGCCAAGGGAATGTGCAACTTTTAATAGAATACAAGAATACGAAGGGCTTGCCTGTAAAGATTTAAAGGTCCTGTTGGTGCATCACTCGTGGTCAGACTTGGTCTCGTATCAGTTTTGGTTCTATGGTGAATGTTTGTTTTGTGCTTTGTGTTGTGTTGTCCTGTTTTTGATGAAGCATGTGATTCCCTGTCCCAAGACAAATTTCTCCCACGGGACAATAAACTATTACCGTATTTTACGGACGATTAGTCGCTCTGGATTATAAGACGCACTGTCATTAAATGGTCTATTTTCGATCTTTTTTCACAAATAAACCGCGCCGGACTTTCAACGAAACTCAACAGTTGGATGGGTCAGTGGTTTTGTTTGTTTGTTCGTTCACGGTGACTCTGGGCTTTGTTCAGTTGTGGCGTGTAGGGAGGTGCTGTCTGGGACCAACGGATCGGTCGCGATGACTCAATTGTTCAGTTGTGACTCAGATTGGCACATTGGATTCGCTTTTTCGGTTCATTCCTCCGTTCCGTTCCTCGTCGGCGTGGAGGGATGAGTGTGTCTGTGGGTGTGTTTCTCTGTGCGGTCGCTGTCTGCTCCGTGTGTGTTTGTGTGTTCTGCGGGTGGTGCGGCTTTGTAGTTTACTGAAGTCGTGCTGGGACACCAGAGTGGATTTGTGTATGGGGCGCTCTGGATTGCGGGGCGTTCGGTCGTTTTTTGATGCGGTTAGAGGCTTAAGAACGCGTCTAATCGCCCGGAAAATACATTATCTTATCTTATTATTATGAGACTACATCAATCTAATTACAGATTGTACCTTTAACTAATCCTTATACATACAACTTGTACCAACAACAAGGTAAACTCTAAAGTCCTTTAACAGACATTATTTGCACTTTTGGACTGCTTACAATTTGGATCTGCATTGTGTAACATTTCAGGTGCCGGTTCCATCTTCTCCACGTCTCCAAGGAGATGTTATCGCTTTGCTGACGACGCTCTTCGGCTCATTAAACTCCTCTAGCTTGCATGTATTCAATTACAAGTGTTATTGCTTTAGAAAAAGTGCGGAGTTGAGCTCGGGCCCCTCTCCACGGATCCGACCTGTCACTTGGTCTGGTTGTGCTGCCTGCTCGAAGACAGAAAAAAAAAGATTTAGAAACTTTCCAGGCAAAGAAATAACATCTCCACGGAGAGAAGTGGGTGGCAAACTCCATCACGAAAGTTACAAATTACACCTTAATCGTAAACGGGGAAAG